TTTTTCAACAGGTTCAAGATATTGAGTTCATGCAAATTGAGATGGAAGTCATCGAAGGGCTTAAAGTTGGAAATGTTTGTCTGAAGAGTATGCACGAGGTAGATATTGCTTTTTTTTGCCTTTTGCATTAAGAAATATGCTTTTCACTTTATTGTTGTGATAAAATCTTTAGATGTTTACTTCAACAATGTCAGAACTCCCACTAATAAGTGCCGTACTTTTATTTGATGTGATCCCTGGTTGAGGATAGAGCACAGAAAGCCTGTGGTTTGTCTTGGCCTAGCTGGTGCACACTATTTGAAGATTAAGAAGCGGCGCCTTGATTGCAGAGGTGTGACTGCTGCACATTGTAGGATACAGTGTTTTACAGATTCTTCCTGCCAGGGAAAAGTGGAAAACACTTTTCATCAAAATCATTTTTCTTGCTGTGTGTGATGTACGCTGTCTTTTCTTGATTGTGACAGATCATGTCAATAGAAGATGTGGAGCGAATCCTGGATGAGACCCAGGAATCAATCGAATATCAAAAGGTAAACATCAGCTTGATGTCAGTTAAATACACATGTACAGAGCTATTTCTATTTTTATTATTATTCCACTTCCAATAATAATATAAGCCTAATATAAACTTAAATGAAATAAAACTGCAGTGCGACTAGTGGCCAAACATTAAAGGCTTTTTGAACGAAATTTTAACAATGCTATGATTTATTTGTTGCTTTTTGAATCTACATATTAAATACTTGTGGGAAAAAGTGTCCTGTCTGATTTCCTTCTTTTTTTTTTTTTGCCTCTACAGCAAATAGATGAAATGTTGGCTGGAGCCTTGACGCAGGAGGACGAGGATGCTGTTTTAGCAGAGCTGCAAGCCATCACTGAGGTTCGTGTGAATCTTCATGTCTAACCTTTAGTCAATGAGGAGAATGTTTGTGGAGCAGGCATGGTCTTCACATTCACTGTATAGCTACACAATCTGAGACATGCTGTAACCACAGGCTTCAGCTGTTTACCTCAGTGCTGTGGTTAAAGCTAAGAGACCTTTAGTAGCGTGGATTATTACCAAAACTGCATGTTGATTCTGGGGCCTCAGACAATATCTCTCTAAAGTGAAAGAATCGTAAAGTAAGCCCCAGTATCATTTTAAAGTAATAACAGGCTGTAAGTGAAACTGCAGTGAATAGAATTTTGGTTGATTCATAATAATTCAAACCTCTGCAGATTTTCCTTCTTTTGTAATCTAATTATTATTTCAAATGACACACACGCTCTCAAATTACACAAATGACTATGTTTCACTCTTCTCTCTCTTAATTACACATATTAAACACACAAGTTTTATGGCAGTGGAAATAATTGTGTGTACATGTTGGTGTAAGAGCGACCTCATCCCCTCAAAACAATTTTTTTATGTTTTCCATGTGCCATCAAATACGACTTGGTTCAATTACTTACAGTACAACAGAAAAATTGCATTATTTGCGGTATAGATTAAAAAGCCCCTTTGAGGCACATATGTGATTTATCCAGTCAATGTAAATATAATGTACGACAAAAAACATTGGGTTAGCTAAACAACTGAATATGTTTGTCGTTCTTTCATTACTTTGTGTAACATTTTCTGTGTCTGTCCTCAGGGTGAAGACATAGCACTTCCAGAGGTCCCCACTGAGCCAATACCAGAAGTCCCAGAGGCAGCAAAAGCTGAACGAGGTACAGTTGAATCTCTTTTTTTTTTCACACAACTAATTATTTTTTGCAGTATCCATGTGTAATTGGTGCCAGACTGATTTAATTTTTTTTTTTTTATGTACTTTGTTTTCTAGCGAGGAGAGAAGCAAAGAACAAGCTGGAGAGAGAGTTGCAGGCGGCCTAACAGACTGAAGTCGCGGTTGATATTCAGTGATGGACTCCTGGAGCAGGCTGTTTTAGTTCTGATTATTCCTCTTTAATTCTTCTGGGACCCTCGGGGACCTTTACTCGTTTGACAGGATCAGCACTGTGTTTGTACTTTGGTTAACTGCTCCCCTGAAGTATCTACATGAAGGACGTGTCATGGTCTGTTCTAACATGTCTGACTGGGATTATCAAAGCGATGTCGTTTGGTTGGTTAGGATGAAACAGAATGACGGGACAATTTTTAGATGTTTTACATATTAAATTGAGCTGTGGAAACAATTTCTTCTCTTTGCTTTTTCTTTCACAGATTTAGTCCCTTTTTTCCTCTTTTTAAAAGTGTGTTAAACCAAGTTCGGTTCCATGGCTCTGCTACCTTAGAATAACAGTGTTTTGTGACCACCTTTCTCCAGAGGGTGGCGCTTCTCGCTAGGTTTTTAACTCTGCACAGTGCAAAACAGGTGTCCCTATTCACATCAGTGAAGTGAGTGTGTGGCTGCTGAAAGAAAGTATAAAGCTCATGTTGCTGATTTCAGGGAGATGTTTCGACAAGAAAGCCAATATACTATTTAGCATCCTGCACTAAGTGGGCACTCAGACTCTAATTAGCATGTTCAGTAAAGCTAACAAATTATCCCATGTGAGAAAAACCATTGTGTTACCTAAAACAAAGTATGACTGGTTTAACGCCTCATGTAATTATCTATCTATCTATCCATCTATCTATCTATCTATCTATCTATTATTGCTCTTCACCTTCTGAATGAACCCATTGTATTATGGATGCAGATTAAGTCTTTTTGAGATGATCATAACACACATTATGCTGTCAGTGTAATTAGACAAATGTAAAATTACAGGTATTTTTATTCTGATAAAAATCACAATGTTTAAATTGGATCTTAAATTTGATTTATTGTAGAGACCACAATTCTTTCTATCAGTAAAGAAATATGATATACATAGTTTAGTAATTAATCAAATTTCAGTTTTCTCCTGCTCGTCAGCCTGGTGCACTGTGTGATATATAAATGTATAAATCCACACATATAATTCTATATAAGGGCTGTTGTTGGACTATAAAAAAATATAGATAAAAAGGTTCATATCATTTGATGATTTTTCACAATACATGTCACATGATTATAAGTTCATATGTCACTAAACTAATTTACAAAATCTTAGGTGATACCATCATTGCATTTTATTTTATTATCTTACACATTTCAATTTCATTTGAATTATTTTATGCCAACTCATTTTTAAATTGTCATACATATTTTATATTTTCTATACATCTTTTAATCTCTACCTTTTTTTCATAGTCTTTTCAATCTCTTATTGTGATGTAATATCTCTCCCCTTCAACTTGTTTCTAAAACATTTTACAGATGCTATCATCATCTTTTAAGCTCTTCTTTTATTCTGCTATGTTTAAAACTTTTGGTTTTAAACTGTTTCCTGATTTTAAATGGATTTCTTTCATTTTTTTGTGGTCGTTTTTGATATCCCTGAACAGCACATTGACTCCACCTCTGCGTTTGAAATTTGCTCACAAATAAAACAGCCTTTCCCTCTGATGAGAATCACATCATTGCATTTGTTGACATTATATTATTTCCCCTATTATCGGGTTTTATTGCCTTTTGTGACTTTGCCGGTGGAACACGCTTCTTCCGAGCTGTGGCGCGGGTCCGTGAAGGCAGCAGCGGGCTGTCAGCTGTGCGCTCAGCAGAAGGTGTGTTCAGTTGACGTGGGGTTTTCTGGAGCGCAGTATCGTGTCGCTCTCTCGCGGGCGCGTCTCCTCGCCGCTGTGGGTTTTGTTTGATCGACCTCGTGCAGCCCCTTCCACGCGTGTCCCCCCCCCCCTCCCCCACACACGCACACATCTCCCTCTTTCACGCGGATACACGTCTCAAGGAACAAGACGCGTTTATGGTCCTGGCTGAAGATTTCACGATGTCTCGCACCGACGAGGTTCACCGCATGACGGAAAATGTCTACAAGGTGAGGCTCAACTAATGGATAAAGTTTTCAGGTGCACGAGATGATGCTGGATGCAGGTGGCAGATACACTGTGAACGCATCATCATTTATTAGATATTGATTAAGATGCATTCAAACCTCCTAATTGAGCATCTGTTTAGGGAGACGCGCAGATCAGTTCGTTTTACGTCTTGATCATTTGCCAAAATGTTGTTTCTCACCTCCACACATCAGGTTTTATAACTACATCACTCAGTCCTCAGTCCTCAGGCCTGGATTGTTTCCTTTAATCCACACTGATAGTGCTGTTTAGGCCTTTTTTCAGATACCAGTTCATGGATTTGTGGTTTTCTTGCTAAAATGGGAACCTATTGCATTCCACAAGTCAGTGATTGACGGACAAAGAAGGTTGAGCTTATCTGTTACAACGGGTAAACATTTGCCCCACAGGGATTTCAACATCCAAACCTGTTCTACCATTACAAAAAAAAAAATCATTGTATAAGTCTTTTAAAACCGTCTACGAAGTTCTCCCTGCGTAATTCTGAAAGGAAAGAGGAAAAATACCTCATTTTAAGATTGTTTTTTAAGGATTGAGTTGATTGTGATACAATATTAAAAGAATAGCTCACCCAAAAATGAAAAGTCCCTCATTTTCTACTCTCCACTGTGCTGATTAGTTTGCAATGATGTCATGAAGAGAAGCAGCAGATGCAGGGCTCCTGTGGGTTTGTCATGAGCTGATTTTGTGTGGATCAAGTCGTACATTAACCAACTCACTTGCTTTGATTCACAATCTTTGCCATGTTACAGAGTTCCAGGGGGAATGTTAACCAACGTTGTGTTGTACAAGGCTCCACACCTGCACAGTGGTGATCTCTGGCTTCAGTGCCCCTCCAGATGGTCTCTCTAAATATGTTTCTCATCATTATTTAGATGTAAAAAAATCTACATATGTTCCTCTGCTTTTGATTGTTCTCGTGCTCGAGGCCAGTGGCAGATCCTTTAATGGAAGGCCAACAATGAGCGGAGGGCAGCTGCTCGTGCTCCGACAGGGAATAAACACCTCAGAAAGGAGGTCAGGTGAGCAGAGGCCTTCTGAAAGGTTCTTCTTTAGGAGCTGGAGAGAGAGGCTAGTGCTTCATGTGGCTATTTCTGTGACGAATCGGTCACGCAGCCTTCAAGTGCATCCCTCTCATTGAGAATTGGATGCCATGCTCTGTCGGGCTTCGTCCAATTGTTTACGAACGTGGGTTAATCAACATAGACACGCTGTAGGTGTCTGGATCCTGAACCCTCCATGGGGAGGAGCAGGTCTTTGCTCATTCAAATGCGGGGACCAGCAGCGGGGCTCTTTCCCTGGGGTGGTGGCGCCCCGTCAAGAGCCCTGACAGCCAGAACGCGCTGATGGGCAGTGGAGTGGACCGCCCGGAGTCCCTCATCCACGCCGGGGATCTGACCCAGTGGCAAAAGCTAGGAGGTCAGAGAGAGTGTTATAGTCGCTGCTTATTTAGCACTCCTCACGCTTTCTTCACAGACCCTGCAGTGTGAAAGCAAGTTTCTTAGTGTGCTTTAATATTTCAAGAGATGGATTCAGTATGACTCCCACCATATTTCAGGGCTGAAATGCACATCTTTCACAGTGTATTGCATGCATTTCAGGGGTTTATACCTTGAAACTACATTTTCTCAGATAGAGTGCATGTTAGGTCACTGAAATCTGCTGATATTAGTCGGATGCCAAATGACGCATATGTCTGAGGCTGATGGGACGACTGTCACCATTAATTTCATGGGATTGTCAGCCACACTGAGGGGACGTTGAAGCTGCAGGGCTTGTTGCATAAGTATTCAAATTAGAGTATAGGTAATAAAAATGTAAAGAAAAGACGTAGCCAAGTTTACTGCATCCTTACTGGCACAGACAGAGCGATACGGTGATTGGATCTTTCTTACCTAAGTGCACTTGCATCCCGCCCTTTTTTTAATGCAGTTGCTCCAAGTTTGCAGCTTCTACTGTTTGAGACACTCCAGCAGCAAGTTCTACTAGATACACATTTGAATGCCTCCATAGACAGTAATTGTGTTTGTCTACTTTGTATGCAAGCACAAACCTGTGAGGAAGAGGAGATGTGAAAACATACGGCGGCTGCTAAGTCATTGCAGTCAGCAGCTGGGCAGATACTGAGTAATCGCAAGGGGAGAAGAGGGGGGTAACTCCGCTGCTGTGACTCATGAGTGTGTGTTTAACAAGGCTGGGACTAGAAGGCACGGCGAGGGCGAAACTCAAGAATCTGAATCTCACCGCACGCGCTGTTCCTTCAGGTCAAACCCTGAGCCACTCCTCGCCTTTATTGATATGACTTTATCTCGACAGGGGAGTCAACCCTGCAAACCCGGCAATCCCAGCGTGATCTTCTGTGACTCACTTCAATTCTCCTCCCTCAGATTAACAGGCAGTTCCAGACATCTAGTCATTCCCGCGCTGACGGGGTGAGACAGATACTTAGGACTGACACTGGAGGGTTTGCGTGCTTCCTGTGTGTGTGTGTGTTTGCATCACAGTCATCTTAACCAGCTGGCCGTGTTGCTGAGTGGCTGAGAGAAGTGGTGCCCTGGGTCAAGCCTCTTAGCATGCCATTGGGTTAAGTCTGAGCGCTGACCTGGCTTGGGACGGAGGGGGAGACAAGTTGAAGTGAACAAACAGATTAATCGGACTGGAGGCTGAAGAAGAACGGGGCTGTTTGTTGAGTCCAACACCTTTTTCATGGCCATCAAACTTTTAGTAAATAGGCAATGAAATAAACGGGGGAGGCAGTTGAACACACCCTGCAGCACTATGTAGATTTCACCTGTATTTACTCGGTCTCTGTCACAGTAAGTGCCGTGTGTTTAGTACCCGATACATGCGGTGCAGGTTTCTTTTGAACACGCCTTTGCAGGTAAGGGAATAGAAGGGTGTGTCTCGTCTCTACCAGCCCGCAGGACAACACTCATTTTCCCATGTAGCACCACTCCCTGATTGTCAACACAGCTTGGAAAACATTGGACGCCGTTCTTTCAAATGGATGATTTAGAAAAAGGCCACCCCCCCCCCAAAAAAGTTGTTTGACGTTAACTGGAGCAAGTGTGATACTATACTCTCAGGTTAGAAGATCCATTGTGTCGTGAGTGTGTTGCTGCGGCAGGATACGCTGCTCGATCAAAAAATCCTGATCGGAAATGCAGTTTTCCAGCCTAAAAAGACGACTTGTTATGTAAGAGGTTTCTCTCTCTCGCTTGCAGTATTGTCGTGACATTTGCTACACTCAAATGAATGATATTCTGATGATGATAATCAGAGGAATACAGTTTCATGTGGGAGATCTGAACAGGTGGTCTCTTAGCAACAACGTGCCATTATTCTTATGTGTTGCTGTCATATCATTGTGCTCAAAGGCTTGCATTTGGTGAAGGGCTGGAGACGGCGAGCGAGAGTGATGGAGGTCACGTGAACATCCATGTGTTTGTTTTAGAAACAGACGGAAAGGCAAACCTCAAATGTGTCGATTTTCATGAGCAATGCTCTATGAAATCCCCGTGAATGGTCCCAACTAAAACATCCGTCTTCTGTTTATACACAGTTGTGTTTTGTCCCTGTGGTCTTGCATAAAGGAGCTGAAGTCACTTGGAACGGAGACGCCATCCATCACTTTATTTACCTTTTTTTCTCGCAGTATATCACATCAGGCACCACTCACCATATTATATGCGATTTAATGGAGTTTGAAATGACTTTGGCTCCTGAACATCTGCCTCCAGAATATAGTGTTTCCACAAGTTTCTGCCTGCGTGTGCCCAAGGCCTTGAAAAGATTGCATTATGCACTGCAGGAGATGTCATAACATTCACTGCCTGTAGAAGAGCAGATTTGTTCCCTGTGCCTTTGACTGCGATGCAGAGAGAGGACTACTGCTCCACACACCCACCTTCTCTGCTCGTCCGGGGGCGGATGGTTTAGAGACACTCGCTCTTTTCTTTTACTCATCACGCCTTTTCAAGGACCGAGACTGGAGATGCTCAGCGCTAAATCCAAGGCTACACTGCATCGACTGCAAAAGAAGCTTCGCAGCTGTCGTGAAGGTGGATTTGAAGTCTCCTTGTTAACATGGCTCTTGTCCAAAAAACTACTTATCTGTCACAAAAGCAGTGCACATAACCGTTTCATTTGCTTTAAAGAAAGATACAAAACACTTTATTGTGGGAGGGGAACGGAGAAGGAGATGGACGAGGAAAGAAAAATAGATGGAGACATTCCACATCCTTGTTGAAGTAGTCCCTAATTACTGTGGAGGGTGAAGCTGTAATTACACAGCCCGAAAGAGACACAGAGGCAGAGATTTTCAAGTTGGTGCTGTGGCAGTGGACAATGGCTTCACATGTCTGGGTCACGAGCTATAGTTAACATGTCTGTGGCCTGTGTTCATGTGCAGCGATAGACCGGTCGAGCTGGCAGCCACAGCGCTCCTGTGAGCCCCAGACTAGTGATGTTTGCGATTGTACAGAAAGTATAAGTAACTGTGCAAACCCCCGTGGTCTGAATATTATTTTTTTGAAAATGATTGAAACTTTGCCAGTGGGATGTACAGTAAAATAAAGCAGGATGTACATTTCAGTCACAACTTAAGCTCACTGAGATGCAAATGCAGACATGGGGGGGAAAATAGCACCACCTCCAAGTTGCATGTTTCAAATTGCCTGAGCACTCAGTTAAAAAGGGCTGGCTGTGTAGTGCGCCCGGAAATAGCAGATAAAAAAGCGTTTTGAGTCGTCGTTTGGAATCATGATTTTCTGTCTGTTGAATGTTGCGAGGAGGAGGTCGCACACAATTCATCCATAATTCATGGACAGTCTTTCGGGAAGCTTTAAAGCAAAAAAAAAAAAACCTCACCAGTAAAGTATCATGAACGTAAATTAAGCTGTGTGTGTTTTTATTTTCTTGTGGAGAATGAACGACAACCTCTGCTGTCTATTGCCTTCCT